TTAGGGTTGGGGTTAGGGTTAGGGTTAGGGTTAGGGTTAGGGTTAGGGTTAGGGTTAGGGTTAGGGTTAGGGTTAGGGTTAGGGGGGGTGTGGTGCTACCTGGTTCTCATCTCCTCTGGCAGCAGTTTGCCGGTGTGTGTGTGGGGGGGGTGTTTCCATGTGCAGCTGCCTGCAGGCACAACCCCTGCAGCTCATAGTGGCCACAGAGCACCTGGGAGTGGGGAGGGGGGTTCGTGTGAGAAGAAACCTCCCCTCCATGGGGCTGCAGAAGCTTTTCTAGCCCTGCTGAGCGGCTGGCGATGGCTGGAGTTGCTGGGCCATTGTAACTCACCTGGGGGTGTCAGCTGCAGATGAGAGGGGGAGGGTGCAGCAGGTGGGGCTCGAGGGAGAGACCCAGCCCTGAACTTGGCTGGAACAGGGCCCCAGCCCAGGCGTTTTCCTGGAGCGTGGGCCCCAGGGGCTCATAGAACTTCTTACCGCTGTTTATCAGACAGATGCTGCATGTGCTTGGGGAGGCACCAGCTCATTGCCCTAGGCAGGCAACCCCTACGAACCTGCCCATATCTCTCTATCACATGGGTGCTTTAACAGACACCCCAAATATCCTGCAAAGTGTCCCAGGCCTCTGTTTGCCAGAAGCTGGGAATGGGCAACAGAAGAGGGATCTCTTGATTCCCTGTTCTGTTCATTCTCAGGCACCTGGTATTGGCAACTGTTGGCAGGCAGGATACTGGGCTAAATGGACCTTTAGTCTGACCCAGCCTGGCCATTCCTATATTCATGAGACTCGAACAGTCATTAATGTTGGCAAAGCTTTTGATGCTCAGGCTACTTTAGAAAGAGCATGTCAGCATCAGGCCTTTGAAACATCGATTCCAGCTGCAATAAGTTTTTGGCCTGTGAATTTAATCTCACTGGATTTGGAGGGAGCAGACTTTTATTAGTAGACAAATTGCAATTTCACTGTACACTCAAACTGCTGAAAAAATATTTCCATTCGTAATAACTGAAAGTTACACACAGGCACAGAGAGAACGAGCCTGTCTGAGAACTTCTTAGTGTTGAATATCACTGTCTACTGTCATTGAATAATTATTGTTTGGTCCAAATATTGCCTGATTTTCCCCCTTTAATTTCCCACAACTGTGAAAGTTGAAAACCATAAAAAATGTGCAACTGGGAGTGTGTAACTGGATACATATCAAATACTCTAATATTAATTTTTCTCCAAAGCCTCCAGGGCTGAAATGTGTCCTCTTATTATTTTCCAATCTAGCAAACGGACCTAGTCAGCTCCTGGAAGGGGAACAGCCAGTTGTTGCTGGAGGCGGGCCAGGAAATCGAAACTCACCCTTGTTCCCCAGCCCAGAGGGAGCCATGGCCACAGAGAGCCCCATGGAAAGTCTCCAGAAGGAAGCAACACCTCCCGTCTGCTTAGAGTATTTTAAGGACCCGGTGATCACAGACTGTGGACACAATTTCTGCCAGACCTGCATCAGCCGGTGCTGGGAAGGACCTAGCCCAGCCACCTCCTGCCTGCAGTGCAGGGACCCCTCCAGCCCAGCAGGCAGCTGACAATGGTGGTAGAACTAGCCAAGCAGCTGAGTTTGCAAGCAGCAAAAGGAGCAGGAGAAAGTAGGGTGTGTGAGAAGCACCAGAAGGCGCTGAAGTTGTTTTGTGAGGAGGATCAAGCCCCCATGTGTGTGTTGTGTGACAGGTCCCAGGTACACCGCATGCATAGGGTGCTTCCCATACAGGAAGCTATCCAGCAGTACAAGGTAGGGAACTGCTGCCCTGTCTACTGGGTAATAATTTTGGATTTTAATTAAGGCTAATTTCACTGACTGTTACCTAGCACAGGTGTGACTCATCAGTCAGCTCTGTACAGCATTCATGGTATGGGAAATAATGTAACACATTACATGCTCTGCCCAGGCGGCAAGAGAGGCAAAATATCAAGTCTTTAAAAATACTGGATGTGGGCAAGTTTTCTCTGAGATTCTGAACCCTTTTCAAATGCAGCCCCCACTGGGGAAATGAGGGAACTTGTTACACAAGGGAAGGTGCTAACAATCAATGAGGTGTAATCACAAGAATTGCAGGCTGGTCTGTGTGACTGGAGATGGGGAAATTACAGTCTCTTGTTTTTAATGGAAGAGTGTTTCATAGAATTGATTATTTTTCTTTGCATCACAGTAGCCCTTAGGGACCCTGCAGAGACCACTGCTAGGGACAAACCCTGCCCTGCACAGTGCACTGCTTCCGGGAGCTGTATCTGGGACTGGGGCAGTGGGTACCTGCCCAGAGGGTGTCGTCACTGACAGGGGTTAGGACAGTGCTGGGCAACCTCCCATCATTCCTTATACAAATCTGCATGTCTAATGAAGGGGGTCACTGACCCATCCCCAGAACACAGAATACCCCCACATCTGCCTGCCGAGGCCTTCTCGCACCTGTATTGGTCGGCCTCTGTGGGCCTGTCCCTGCCTTTGTCAGACCATCCCCATCTACATCCTTCGGGGTGGAGGTGCCGCCCCCTCCTGCCCCCCACCCTCACAGGTGTCTTGCTGCAGCCTCAGTCTCCTCCTGTCTCTTTTTCACCAGAGAAAGCCATGACCAGATCTCCCTAGAGGGCAGGGACAGAGCCCAAACTGGGACTGTGCAGTTCAAACCGCACAAATGGGCTTCTAATGTTAATGGGGTTTGTCTTGGTGCTGAAACCAGCTCTGTCCAACCAGTGCAGCCCCCAGGGCTTCAGGGCTGAAATCCCAGCCCATATTTACACCCTCGTGGCCTCTGGAATTTGTCATTTTTTTAAACCTTCTGCAGCACGGGTTTATTGATTCACCCCCTTGTGACTCCAGTGTCCTGTTGTGCACAGCCCCGTTAATCCATTCGCAAATACCAAGTGAAGTTTGGTGATGGTTGAAATCTCTCTGGAATCACTAAAGTACGTGAACCTGAATTAGTAACATGTCAGATTCCAATACACACCCACTCTCCATTAATAAGATTTCATCTCAAAGGCCCTGATGTCACAGTGATTAGAATCAGTCTTGTTTGTTGGTGGAAAAAGGCCCTGATCAACACCCCTTTCAGCCCTGAAAGTAAAACCTCTCAATTCATTTCTATTTCTTCAGGGAAAAATTCAGGCTCATTTGAAGACTCTGAGGGAAGAGAGAGAAAAGCTGCTGGGAGGGAAAGCAACGGAAGAGACGAGAAGCCAGGAGTATCTGGTAGGTGCCTGTGGCTATCAATCGGCATGGACTAGCAGTTGGACGGCTGTTTGGAGGCAGGCTCCTGTGTGGCCTTGGGAGGTGGGATAGTGAGTTGCTCCATGACCATGAATTGCTGGGTTAGATCCATGTGTAGACAACCCCTTAGCTGCCATTTCAGTTTCAGCTCCTCACGTGGGGAAGGGAGGCTCCTGAATCACAAGCAGTGCCTGAACTAGGTATTTTTGCGCCTGGGGCAAAATATTATTTATGCGCCCTGGTCTCCTTAGGTTAGCACCCGTTGGCCTTTTTTACTTTTGTGGCTTATTATTTTTACTTCCTGTGTCTTTGCGCGCCAATTTATGATGTGCATGAGGCGAGTACTTCGCTTGCCCCACCTTTGTTACAGTCCTGATCACAAGCACTGGGTCCAGCAGTGAGATTTGGGTGTAACTCGGTGTGTGCATTGCTGACATGTGAGTGACTGTTGTGCTTTGCAGAGTTACAGGAACAGAGATATCCAAGATGGAAAGCCCCATGTTTGCAAAATCCCTTCCCTGTCCCCTGTGTGTGTGCGATGGGACTGAGATTCTTTTTTCGCTCTCCCCTCTAGGATGTCAGAAGGACCTTGAGCAGATATGTGGCTCTCACTCACCCTCCTACTGCACAGCGCAGGAAAAGAGCTTGGAGCTGACATTGGCATCACATCTCCCGAGGGCTCTGCAGCCAGATGTTGGATACAAATCTGAGTCATTTAATTCTGAGGGTCTCACCCTTGCACAGAAGACTCTGGAATTCTCCATTCAGAGACACAGTCTGACCTCAAGTATTTCCTGGAGCTGTAACCTCCCTGGGGACTGGCTGCCTCAGGACTGTGGGGATGGAACATGGGCCTGTCACTCCTGGGCGCCATTCAAACCAGGGCAGCAGGGAATAAGAGACTGTTCCACCCAATGGATGTTTGGAGACCTGTGTAGAATGAGCTGGGGAGAGGGCAGTTGGTGTCTTAGTCTAGTTCCTATTGGGCAGATTCCTACAGCCCTTCACCTGGGAACCTCCTATCCCTCAGCGCCTGGAGGCCAAGGAGTGAGTTGGCTGTGGAAACTCAATTCCCCTTTCATCCACCAGCCGGTGTCTCTGGACCAGAGGTGAAGAACAGTAATGGGACCTTTCAGGGGAACATTGCATAGGCAGGAACTCTGTGGCCCCTGTTCTCAGGCTGGGAGAAATGGAGGAATTGTAACTGCATGCCTGTTAGAGCTGAGACTCACTAGCAAGAACTTATCATCAGTCAATTAAATACAGTCACATGAAATTGTTTCTGTAAAGGTGTGAGACAGGGAAGTTCCAGCTGCCAGAAGAGATTTCTCTTGAACTGAAAGAACAAGTCAGGGGTTTCTCTCAGAAAATGATTGCGCTGTCAGAGACTCTGAGGGAGTTCAAAGGTACCTAGAAGGGATGGGTGAAGGGAAAATGGTTTAAGTATCTGAGACTATTGAATCTGGCCTCTGAAGCCAACCTTCCCCTGCCTCAATTCCCACGTGGAGAATGACAGCCCTATGATACTGGTCTCCTTAGAGCAGCAGCAGGCAACCCACGGCTAGCGACCTGCCTGCGGCTCATGAAGAAAAAATTGCCGCTCCTGATGGAAGTGGGATGGAACCTGCAACCGCTCAGGTCAACTGCCGTCATGGCCTGCAGCCTGGCGCTCTCCCAGGCAACGTATACAGAGCGAATGCCCATCTGAAGTAGGCATTGGCTCACTGCAGAGGCTACATTTCTTAAAGCCTGGAGATCCAGGCATGGTTGTGTGTCAGCTTCCTTCTGAGAGGTGTGTTTTTATTTAAAAAAAAAAAAAACACCTTATCCGCAGTTGGTAACAGCAGGGAGCCACTGTAAGCCAGGGCTTTAAGGAGGTGTTGAGGCTTGCTTTTTTCTCTTTTTTTTTTGTAGTAGATAAGATCAAACGACAACAAAAGAACTCTAACTATATACAATTAATTAACTAACTACAGGTTCCCTGAGGGAAGGAGAACTACTGTGAGGGGAGAGATCAGAAGCTCCTTCTGCGTTCAGGGACGGTTAAGAGGAACTGACAGGAAAGCCAGGTGCACGCAAAGATCAAAGAGCGCACAGTGCGAGCTGCACCCTGCGCATGTGCACCTGGCTGGAAACAGCTATACAAAGCATCCGAGCTGCGGTGCGGGATGACCCCGACACCATGAGTGGAGCACCCACGGGGACCACTCGAAGAGGAAGGGAAAGCTCCATGTGCTGGCTCCTGAGTAAGCAGAAGCTCTGGAGTTTCTGTGCTTGCTGCAATCCTTCCCGTGGCCCCCCCGCCCAGCTCCAAGAGGCTGGAGCTGTTAAGGAGGCATTGTTAGGTGGGAGAAATAATAAGGCAGCAGAGGGGTCCCCTAACAATACTAAGCCCTCTGTTCAAGTCCTGTGACAGCCAGCGTCTATCATCTGGTGTCACGTTTTAATTAATCAAAGGACCCAGTTTAAGTAAACCGAACAAATGACTGATTTATTAAGGGTAAATTTACAAAATTGGGGATTCAGGGAGTATTCAAATATGGTTAACAATAAATGGTACAGTAATCAATTCCCCAAAACCCACAAGGAAAAGCAAAATTTTGGCCGAGTCCAATTAGTATGGTAAGTATAATAACAAAAGTTTATAGCAACCTTGATAGTTTGCAGACATTCGCTCAGAACCTCAAATCTCACAGCTCACCGAGAGCTTTGAGAGAGGAACACTGAGGAGAGCCCTCATAGTCCTCTTCCCTGCCAATGGTAAATAGTTGTCAGGGTGGCTAGCAATGGTCTTCAGTGAACTCTTCTGTATGGCTGCAGCAGCTGCCTTGTTATGGAGTCTGATCTGTAAGGAAAACGTCGTGCACTCTGCCTCTAGGATGAGCAGCCCTGAACTGACTAGCTATTGGCCTTTTATGCCCTCTAAGGTGGGAGATCCTGCAGTGTCTGCCCCTGCTAGGGAGACCCTGTATGATATACTTCTGAGGTAAATCCAGTTCAAACTGGAGCTTGTTTACCTGTTTTCTGTCAAAGGTGGGAAAATCATGTCTGACAGACCCAGGGCATGTGGCTTGTCTTTCATTTTGTTTTACAAAATGGATGATGGTTCCTCCATTTTGATTTTAACAGAGATATCCTATAATATCAAACATTACAAACCAAACATTTAACTATTTAGGATTTTATCCTAACAGCATGTGGGGGCCCGGAGGGAAGGGGGAGGGTGAAATCCATCCCCAGAGTCAGAGGGAAGGGAAGCTCCCAAGTCCCTTCCCTGCATGGAGGAGGCCACAGTGGAGCCAACTCCCTCCCACCCCTACCAGTCTGTTCTGTGCATAGGGTGATTACACGCTGCCAATAGTGCCCTCTTAACAATTAGGGAGGCTTTGGGAGAAGGAGAATCACAGAAGTGAGAGGGAAGGGAAACCCCCTTCCGTGCTTGGGATGCCTTTAGGGAGGACGGGGTGGCCACAGCTGGGCAAGGAAAAGCAAACTTATCCATCACACTAAAATTCTAAGTAAAAAGAATTAAAAATTAAAAAAAAACATATTGAGGGGGGTTTGTGGGATTTTTTTGTGTGCACGCATGTGAAAAAAAATTTTCTCACTTTTATGTGGCTCCCAACTGATATATCTGTGGGTTAGTGGCCCCCTGAGGCAAAAAAGGTTCCCCACCCTTGATCTAGATGGTGCTTGTTCCTGCCATAAGGGCAGGAGACTAGACTTGACCTTTTGAGGTTCCTTCCAGTTCTAATATTCAATGATGAAAAAGGCCTTTATTCCAAAAAATGCTAGAACTGGGAAGTGTAATGCAGCTTTCCAACTGCTGCAAGTTGGGGAAAATTCTTCTAAACACAAGCTGGAATGGGTGATGGGGTTTGCATGTGACTCCATTGTAACAAAAACTGTCTGGGTGCTGATTTAAACTGCCTGCTTCCGTAGCCTGGGTAGGCACCCAAGCCGCCAGGCTCAAAGCTGGGAGGGAACCATCTCCTTCCACCCACTCCCAGGCTGTTTTGTGTAGTGGGAAGTAGCCTCTGGTCAGGCCTGCCAGATTGTCCCCTGCCTGCCTTCCTGTGGCTTATGAATTGCAGTAGGGTTTGGGGGACAGCCAAGGGCCTGGGTGCCTACAGTGCCCTCCTGAGTGTAGTATGGAGCCTGTCCTTTAAGTTTCTGCAACAGCTGACTAGAGGATAGCAAACATGTTTTAAAAAGAATCCAGGGGGGAGTGGGGGGGGGGGGGGGGGGGGGGGAGTCTACCTTCAATACCAGGGAAATGGGTTGAAACCATAATGAAGTACAAAATTACCACACACAGAGATGCACTTTTTTTTTTAGAGAAATCAACAATGCTCTCTAATGAGAAATCATGGCTCAACAATCTATTAAGATTCTTTGAGCACGGGGTGGCAATAAATATGGACAACTATGATCCAGTGCAGTGGTGCACAACCTTTTACCTTCAATACCAGGGAAATGGGTTGAAACCATAATGAAGTACAAAATTACCACACACAGAGATGCACTTTTTTTTTTAGAGAAATCAACAATGCTCTCTAATGAGAAATCATGGCTCAACAATCTATTAAGATTCTTTGAGCACGGGGTGGCAATAAATATGGACAACTATGATCCAGTGCAGTGGTGCACAACCTTTTTCCCCGTGCAACCCCTGGGAACATTTTCGTTGACCAAATAAAAAAGCTTTTGACAAGGTCTCTCACTAAAGGCTGTTAAGCAATGGAAGCTGTCATGGTTGTGTGGGAGAATTAAACCTAACATTGCTTCAGTTAGCTATTTTATATCTCCGGCCATGGGTAGCTGAAAGCCAAATATTGCATAGCTAGGACTAATATCACTGCTCTACAGCCAAAATGCTTCTGAAATAAATGTAGTCAAACTTTACTAATTCTGGGTCACTTGAGAACGAAAATGATGCTTAAAATTGTTGATTGGCTCTAGTTTTCAAGATATGCAATTGGGTCAGTATATATGAGCCTTGACTTGCGAATGGTGGAGGATAAGTGAGTTATAAAGGGAAGGGATTTCAATTTAAACCAGAAATGACTAAAATACATCTTTGACTGGATCTATGAATAAATCTATGACTGGGTTTGGACAATACTTGCTTTTTAGGCAAAACAATGAATGATGCAATCTGAAGCTGGTATTGCATCATACATGATATGAATTGCGTCATGTTATTCCTAGAAGTCATGGATCATGCAATCATAATGAAGCTTACATCACTCTGCTGAACAAATTGCCCTATATCAGCTCTAGAAATCATACAGTGTCGTGCTCTCTTATTTGTCAGTGTTTGATTTTGCAAAGGGACACGTTTCTGTTTAGCCAAAGTGAGCAGAGATGCCTCGTACTTGTGTGAACAGTACAGATAACTTCTATGTTTGTGGTGAAGTGACTTTTGCATCACAAAAGAGCAATATAACCACTATGGTTAAGAAAGCCTATCACCTTTATTTTGGCTGCAAAATTGGAGATCAGGACAAGAGGTGGGCCCCACACATATGCTGCAACACTTGTGCAACAAATCTTCGCCAGTGGTTGAACAGGAAAAGGAAATCTATGCTTTTTGCAGTGCCAATGATTTGGAGAGAGCCAACAGATCATACCAGCAATTGTTACTTCTGCATGGTGCCTCCAGTTGGGAAAGGTGTCAAAGAAGAAAAAGTGGACTGTGCATTGTTCAAACATTCCATCAGCTATATGCCCAGTACCCCACGGAGAAGGACTGCTGGTTCCTGATGCACCAGAATCATTCTCACTTGAGTCAGAC